ATTTACTTTCAAAATGTTATTTCTGAGTCAGACAGTACATTCACCGAATCACACTCATTGAATCACTGACATCACTGCCATCCAGGCAGTGGTGGACAGTAACGAAGTAAATGTAATTAGTTTTTGTACTTAAGTAGCTTTTTTGCGTATCTGTACTTTACTCAAGTATTTACATTTTGGGAGACTTTTACTTTAACTCCACTACATTTCAAAGTCAAATATCTTACTTTTTACTCTACTACATTTTCAAAATCAGTCGTTCCTTTTTATTTATGAGTGGATAAAAACGTAACTGGTCAAACGAGCCACCAATCACAGTACAGCACGCGTGCTTTGTTTTGAACTTGCCTTGGCGGTATCTACTAAGCGCGAACCAGAGCCGTTAAATATGAGAGTTGCAAACATAGATTGTTGTCTGTGATCTCGCCGCCGCGCGGTCACGTTATTCGTGTAGCTCTCAATAGTTCCAAACAAATCGCGTTGACAATGATTTTAAGCGGGACAGAGAGCAGCAGCTATTATTGCAGCAATTATCGGTAAGTATTGACGCATAATGTAGCCTACATTGCTTATGTTGCCACTAAAATTACTTGCATATAATAGCTTTTTTTTTTCTGGGGAGTAGCCTAGCAGAAGCACTGCATTAATACGTTTTTGTGTTTAATTTTGGAGGGAAATTGGCTGCTCCCATAACATAGAATATAGAATATATATATATATATATATATATATATGTATGTGTGTGTGTGTGCGCGTGTGAATGTGTGTCTATGTGTGTATATATATATTTAATGGCATTGTGCAGGTTTATGTGAATGTATCATAACATTAAGATGTTTATAATTATGACCATAGGCGCTGGAGAAAAATATATACAGTAAATACGGTAAATGTTTTATACCTTATGGGAACAGTCCCCTTCCCTCCAAAATTAAACACACAAAAAATGAATTCAATTCAAATATATATACATACATATATCAGATTAATTAATGTCATTTCATTAATAGATTGGTGTGCCACAGTGACATTAGTCTTCACTTAGACTGAGTTAAGCAAGAGTCTTGTGACAAAATTATAATAGGACATCATAGCCATAAAAAAATCAAAGTACTTGGATACTTAAGTACATTTGAAGGCAAATACTTTTGTACTTTTACTCAAGTGAATGTTTAAAGGCAGCACTTCTACTTTTACTTGAGTAATATTTTACCTAGAGTATCTTTACTTTTACTCAAGTACATGGTATGTGTACTTCGTCCACCACTGCATCCAGGTATTAATAATCTTTTTTTGTTCGGAAAAAATAATTCCCCCCGCCAAAAAAAGTTTGTATTGGAGTCTGGGTGTTATATTTTGACATTTTTTTTACAATCTCATTATCAATGTAAAAAACGCTGCTTAATATTTTTCTGGAAATCATGATTCATTTTTTCAGGAGTTTATAATGATTAGAAGGTTCAATGAACAGCATTTATTTGAAATGGAAATCTTTTGTAGGATTATAAATGTCTTAACTGTCACTTCTGATCAATTTAATACATCCTTGCTGAAAAAAGGTAGAATTTTTTTTTTTTTCAGAAAAAGTCTTACCCCCAAAAGGTAATTTAAACGGTAGTGTATATATAACAGTCCTTACAAAGAAACGTTAAAACTATTGCAGCAATATTTTTTTAATGATTAATAGGCCTGTACGCGCAGTATAGACAAGCTACTCAAAGAATGTCAAAGTTCTTGTACTATGTTTTAACACTTGTTTATTTCAGTCCTATCAAGGCTGTATCTTTCACTGTTTAAACTACGGCCACAATAAACATGCTTTTCATCCCATATTGGCAGCACTGTTTTTTTTTATAGATTTGAAAAGAGGTAGACTGTTCAGTTTTCTACACAGTTAATGTGTTTTAATAGTCTTTGGCTCATTACTTTCTTTCTGTCTTTCTAGTTTTCTATTAGCTCATGCCACAGACTAAACATTTTCAAACACAGTCAGTGGCTCTCAGACTAAGGCATGGCACGCTCTCTCAGTTGCTGAAAAACAAATTTCCAGCCTCTCTCCAATGCGGTTTTCACTGCACCATAAATACGAAGAATAAACAAGCGTTCCATTTGTGAGGGGAAAAAGATTTTTCGTTACATGACAGCGCTAACATGAAATAAATCACCCAAATGTTGGAGGCTCCGTCTGATGTAGTTTGTTCCCCTTGAGCTTGTTGTGGAGAAGCATTCAGTCATAGTTGCCATGAGGGCAGGTGTAGTCGAAAGAGGCACTGTACCCGCGGGGCAATCTGTGACATCAGTGCCAGCCGTCTGAGCGTGGGGATTTGCAGTGGCACATTAATGCCTGTAGACACCAGTGTCAACAGCCCAGCCTTGATGTTATTGACTTTTCCAATTCCTGCAATTCTAGCGTGGAATTAATAGAACATACTTTATTTTTAGACACTTCTCAAATTGGTGGGTATAATTAGGAGAGAATTTTAAAAGACCATTACATTGTCTTTATCCTCTTGCAGGGTTCAGGTGGGTTTTTTTTTCGTTTTCTTAAATAAGACAGAAAAGTCTATGTAGGAAAACATTCAAATATTCAGCTACAATTTTGGAAAAAACTGTAATGGTAAAAAACTGTAAAGTTGCTACAGGTAAAAACCTGTAAATTGATTAACAGAAAGATTACAGTAAAATACTGTTAATTTTGCAGTTTTTGAAAGTGAACAACAAGCCATCTTATAATTTACACTGAAAAGGTTAGGGCTGCCCCCCGACTAAAGATATTTCTATTCGATTAGTAGTCGTCCATATTTTTTTTTTTTTACATTCGTTTCGTTTATTTCACACGTCAGCATTATATCATTTATACACAATTTCAGAAGGAACAATGGTCATATGTTGGTCGCGTGAAATGGGGAACCCCACAGAAGCTACTAAAAGCTTTTAGGAGGGGGCCCGATAACATAAACATACAATATACAAACCAAAAACTCAATATACCATAGACACAAAATAGACAAATACATAAATACAACAGAAAACAAACACTACAAACGAACAGACGATCCCAGCACAGGTATAACACTTACGGAATGTTCAACAATCATATGTTATGAGCAATTTTTCATAGAGATTTTACTTGAAAATGGAGACAAAATGCAGCAGTTTCAAATTTTCCTCAAGCTCGTTCCAAATCTGCGGTCCCCTACAAACTACACTCAGGCTCCTACATTTTAGTCGTCGTTTTTTGCCAGTAATTAAACGTTTTTCCCTTGTGTCATATGTGTGCTGGGGACGGCTGATTGGAACAAGCTCACACAATCGGTAATTTAACCTATGAATGACCTGGAATATCGTACAGGCTTTATGAAAGACATTATGTTCTGTAAGCCTTATTAAAAAAAGGCGACGAAACAGAGGATGAGTGGGGTATTGGGCTCAGACCACGTTAATACCCGTATCATTTTTTTCTGTAAAGTCTGTATTTTTTTCAGGTAGCTGGTTTTTTAAGCCATAAGACAACTAATCGCATGTTTATATTAATTTAATTACTTAAAATATATACTGGGGGTGGGATACTAAACCATAATGAGCCTTTAAAGTCCCCCTGTAGTCAATAACTTTATCTCTTAAAACTCATCTTTGATCACCCAAGTTGCATATTTACACCCTTGCCTCATTTAGTATATGTGGTTCTATGAATATGCAAATGAGCCCCGCCTCCACTCACTCACACCAGCTCAGAGATCCACTGGTTGACGATCACTCATTGATCTGATTGGTTACTAGTTAGTTTGTGACGTCAGAAACACCAGCGAACTGTGTTTTTGAGACTGTCTTTGGTTCACTGCAGTTTTAAGGAGAAAATACTCAGCTATGGTATATTATTATTATTTTTTATTTTATTTATTTTAAAATTTTGCTTTGACAATATTGATATCACCTAGAACAATGGGTTTAACATTAAAATGCTTTTAATTACAGGAAGCTGTTTATGATTGACCTTTTATATCAATCTTCTATATCAAAAAAATATTAAGCAGCATGACTGTTTACAACATTGATAATAATAATAATAAATGTTTCCTGCACATCAATTCATTATATTTCTGAAGGATCACTGATACTGAAAGCTGGAGTAATGATGCTGAAAATTCAGTTTTGATCACAGGAATGAACTTTATTGTTTAGAAATTGTTTATTTTAAGTTATATTTCACAATATTCGTGTTTTTTATGTATTCTTTCATTAAATAAACGCACCCTTGGTGAGCATTAAAAAAATGTAATGTTTCCAAACTTTTGACAGGTACTGTATGCTGCAAATTGCCACCAAATATACCTGTTATAATATCATGGAAGAAATGACAGAACTTTTATTTCATTAGATACATTTGGAATTTCTCCTCCTTTTGTGTCTTTTCTCTTTTTTTCTTAATTTTGTAGTGTTCGCTGTGATTATTTTGAAAGATGGGTTGGCCTCAGCGTTACATAAACACATTTTGATATGTTTCCCCATTTCATTTGTGTAATCCTTTCAGTATATATGTCTGTATATCACATGTGTTTCCTTGTAATTTGAATAAAATCCATCTCTTTATAGCACAGAAAGTCATTTGGACTGCAAAATTCATAAAGTTTGGCCTTTGCACTGATGAGGGTCTTAGGACCTACATTTTGGCTTTGGCGATACGATTATTCTTGGAAGGAATCGGCCCACAGGAGCTGTCATCTTCATCTAAGTTTATAGCAGTATAAACTTTATGTATAGTTATGTCCATATGATAGTAATAACTTCTGCTCTGGAATTCAGCTGTTTTTCTTTTTCATGTAAATCCTTTCAAGTTAGTCACACTACTATATATATATATATATATATATATATATATATATATATATATATATTATATATATATATATATATATATATAATCTAAACTAATAGACAGATTGACAGATTGAGTTCATTTCTCTTATCTAGATTGTGATCACTCTTCTTTTCTCTCGAAGTTGACAGTGAGCCGACCAATGAGGCGATGACAGAGTACCTGGAGAGCAGGAAGAAGTATGAGGAAATAAGGAAGCAGAAACTAAGGAAGGGTTCTGGTCGAGAGGCTCAGGTGGGTCTTTGCTTTAAGACGCTATGGCTACTTCACAAATCGCATACTCTTTTGAGTAAGTAATAACTTTGCGACCACTAAAAAACTATGTTCTATATAGTATGAGTGTGTGTAGTGTGAATGTAATCCGGACGCACTACATTCGCCATGTTGTCATTATCATGTGACCTACCAGCATCAGTTGCTTTGCTTCACCTCCATTTATAAATCCTGTCCCGTGGCCTCATGGGATAGTTAAAGGAGAACTCCGGTGCAAAATGAACCTCGGGTGTAATAACACATTGGTACAGACTAAATCGTTCCCTGAGATTTGTTTTCATGATAATCGAATGTAAAGAGTTTTATCTCTAAAAACAGTTTAGCTTATAACGCTAGTATATTGGGCATCGAGTAAGCAAAAAGAGATCGCTAGTTAATACCATTAACAAGGCTCAAATTAGCCCCACACTAACACGGCAGCATAATGAGTGTCCTTACATGCAAACCGAAGCATTGAGAACTTTGTAAGTGTATAGACAGTTTAATAAGAAGATACTTTACACAGACAGTACAGTTAGCGCATACAGACAGGAGCCATCTTGGAAAACAGTCTCGATCAGTCAAACCACGAACACGGTGATACGTGAGCTGAACTGTGACTTGGAATCTCATATGGTCCGTTGTTTCCGGAAGAAAGCACTGAGCGCATAAGAGAAGCACGGAACGCAACAGAGAAAATAAAAAAATAAATATAATTTATCTTATCTTCAATATCTACACGTACTGTTCGCTCACCTTCGTGGTTCGATTGGTCGAGACTGTTTTCCAAGATGGCTCCTGTCTGTATGCGCTAACTGTACTGTCTGTGTAAAGTATCTTCTTATTAAACTGTCTATACACTTACAAAGTTCTCAATGCTTCGGTTTGCATGTAAGGACACTCATTATGCTGCCGTGTTAGTGTGGGGCTATTTTGAGCCTTGTTAATGGTATTAACTAGCGATCTCTTTTTGCTTACTCGATGCCCAATACACTAGCGTTATAAGCTAAACTGTTTTTAGTGATAAAACTCTTTATATTCGATTATCATGAAAACAAATCTCAGGGAATGATTTAGTCTGTACCAATGTGTTATTACACCCGAGGTTCATTTTGCGCCGGAGTTCTCCTTTAAGCGTCCATCGAATGCACACTTTAGAACCTCACCGGAAATTGCAGGTCATCTGGGTTATTTTTGCCTTTTTTATTAGAACTTTGAATTCGGACGAACTTAATTGTTACATACTATTTTTCGCCTACTATAGAGTAGGGAAGTATGTGATTTCGGATGCAGCCTAAGATTTTCTCCTGCTCTTATAATGGTAAAAAAAAAGAAGGTTTTCGTAATGATTTGGGAAGAGCTGGCTCATTCCTGCTCAAACTAAATGACAAGTTTCTTCTTAAAAGAACTGTTCACTCAAGGATGACGATGCTGCCATCGTTTACTCAGTTTCTAAATCTGTTTGACTCTGTGCAACACAAAAGGTGAATTTCTGAAGAATATTGGGGCCACTTTATTCCAATTTTTCCAAAGTCATACTTTTTGTGACAAACAGAGAAATTAGTTATTTATTGATAATGTTCCACCCCAATAGGCTATTACTATTAATTGACTACGGATACTCTGTCTATCAAACAAAATGTTACGAGTCGGTTCGCTCACTGATGTACCTGATGATTTTGGAAGTTTTGGAAAATGTGCAATTTTTGATGTTTATAGGGTCTAAAGCAGAGTCTGACTTCTGAAGGATGTCATGACAGCCTGTTCCAGCTGTTTTTGTCCATACAATTACAGTCAATGGGGTCCAAAACAACACTGGACCTTATTGACTTTCATTGTTTGGACACACTGAAAACTTTTTCAAAAAATATTTTTTGTGTTCCATAGAAACTATTACAAAATATAGTGCCTCATACACATGAATCATACTTGGGTGTGCTTTTTTCTCTTTAATCATACAATTTGAAAAGTCAAAATAACGTACTTTCTCTTGCCTCTAAAGACACTTGCCCTTTTGGAAAGCTTCAAAACCAAACTATCATCTGCGATCACTGAGACTCCTAGCGTTCCAGAGGAAAACATGGAGGAACTGGGCGAGGATGATGATAAGGGCTGGTGAGTGGCTTTTACTCATTTCTATACGCTGTGTTCCCCATTCCTACAGAGGTTTGATGCACTAATGGACTTGCAGTTGTCTGTGATCAAATGCATTCTCAATAACTCGCGCCTCATTGGTTGTCCCAATGCACAGCTACTGTTTCACATTAAGGTAGCAGAGCTATTTATTTGGACTAACATAGCAAAACGTTCATACCTCTCTCCACATCAGGCACAGCTGCTGGCCTTAAGTGTGCCTGAACCACCTCGCTCTCCAGCCAAGTAATGCGTTTGGCTCTGGAGCGCACTGACACCATTAGAACAGTATGCAGTGTTTGTTTTTGCTGCGCTGCAATAGCCACTTGTGGAGAAGTAGTTTTCTCAGCTGACTTAACTGAGTAAATAACTGCTTCAGCAGACCGAGTGCCCAGATGGAACGTGTCACACCCACCCGTACACCAGACGGGGCACGTCAACCTGCAGTCAGACGCGTGCTGTCTTTTTAACAGACGCTCATTACGGGTGCCAGCAGAATGAGCGCTTGGCGATAAACCATTGTTGGAATTTTCCATAACACCACCAGCATATGTTTTGGATATGGGTGTGCTGGTGTCCCCAACAGGCTTTTAATCAGCACAATCAATGAGACTTTCTTGGGCTACTAGCATCACTTTGAAGACCAATTTTTGGTTTGCTTCCCAAGCCAAGTTGTGATGGTTAACAGGATTCAGCTACACCAGCACCAAGCCAGCACTGACCATCTGCCCATGTGTCCTCTGATCCCCAGCTCTGAAAATTAATCTTGTCGCTTTGTCACTGCAGATGTTTTTTTGTGTTCTGTCTATGCTCTCCCAATGACGAGCAGACACATGCTAGTTTGACTTCTGCAACACTATTAAATCCATAGCGAAAAGCGGGGGTAAGATGTGGCAGCCCTAAATCAAGAAAACTGTGTTTTTTCTTTATATTTAGAAAGATCCCATCATATCCAGCTGCCTGTGACGCAAAATTAATTTGTTATTGCGAAAACGTTTCCAGGGCTCAATATATATATATTTATATATATATTTATATATATATATATATATATATGTATGGTGTTTCTTAGTGAATTTCCAGTATTTAAAATCATGTAATTTTTTTTGGCTACATTTTTAACCATGAATTATTGATTTTTTTTTTTTTTTTCAAAAACAAAGCCATGCCAGTGGCTTCAAAAATAGTTTTTTTTACTACATGAATATTAAACCTTTTTTTCTGGATGGTTTATGAAAATGCAAATAATGTGCAGACACCCCTTACCCCTTGACATGTTTACCCCTAACAAGTTGTGGCACTGTACCACTTTTTATATTTTTAGGGCATTGTTATTAATGCTTTCCTGTAGCAGACATCTGTCTACAAAACCAAGTATGTGTTTACATTTTCTCCTAGATGAAAAGTGGCTCAACTAACCCCGGTCTCCCCTACTGTTTGTTTTCACGGTATCACTCGCAACTAGGCCCTGTGTCGGGCAGTATTATATGTTGTGAGCTGTAACAACTGCCTTAGCTGTCTGTATGTCACTGGAAAATTCCAATCCAACAGCATACTACGAGATTATGAAGACAGAAATGAAATAATTACCATGTCACAGCGGTGCTAGATCACTAAATCACACACACCACTCACTGTGCAAATATTAAGTCTGTTCGGTTTTATTTTTGCCCTCCTTTAAATATGAAGACTAAACACAGCTTAGCTTTTCTTTTTGGCATCCTCTAGATTATTATTTTTTGTCCTGATCTGATGGGAACGTTTCCATGTTGGGCCGAGGGTGTTATTGACAGCTGAGTTCTTTGGCCAGGATAACATTTATGATGCTGCAAAATGAATCAGACTCCAGGGAGCATCCATCTTAATGCTGCATGCGAGGCATAAAGTTATGGCCCTGATTGTGCGCTTAAGCACACAAATAGAATATCAATTAGAGATGTTTCAGTTTGATTCTGTTTTCTCCATAATCTTCCTAGCATATGTGATGAAGATGCATGTGTTTGTAAGTACAGCCTCTGAGATGGCAGTAGGTACTTAAAAACTGATTTTGCTCATCCACATTTATGGCTTTCATAGTTTGAAAGATGTGTTTTTCTATTTAATGAACTCTCAACGTGATTGGACATTACTGTGATTCATAGATACGCTTTATTTCTGAAGCCCTGCCATGACCAATGCGTCACACGGCACTTCTCGTTTTTCTGAGGATTACGGGAAGCAGACTGGTAAATCATTCTGCTTTTTCGCTCTCCGTTAAAACGTATAGCTTCAGCAGCAGTTTGCTTTTTTTGGGTATGCCCGAATCCATATATAGATACAGTCCATTGCAAACCCAGGGTAGTTTTCCACTGGAAGTGTTTGAAGCGACTTAGATGCGGCCAGTCTTTGCTTAACTGTTTGGTAGACGTCCACTGCTTTTATTTCACGCATTCGCAGGAAAACCGTAAATCACAATCAAATGTAAAGAATGTGGTCGAGTGCATGCCTCTGCGGAGAGTAATGGCTTTATGCTTGATGAATTATCAGTGTTAATGGTGTGCGAGTCCGTGCCGCAGCCGCACTGGTGACGTGCTGAGGATAAAGCGAAAAGATCTGTCGGACCGTCGTCCTCCCTCTTCACGCTGCAAGCCACCGCAGGGAAATGAATCGACACGGTGTGTTTTTCTCTCGGATTTGCTTTTCATCAAAGACCTTGAGTCTTTGTCTAAATATATCCACTCAAATGCTCCAACAAATACCACATGTAAGTGTAAAAGGGGCGCCATCTTCTAAGCTTGAGTTCCTATGTGTTTCCTATAAGTTACTTTGTCCTCTGGATAGACCGTCATTACTGTCTAAGGACCCCCACGACGCTAGGATGTCTCAGGACTGATTCTGGGGCGGAGGAGGGGACCGGAGGCCCCCAGTGCTAGAAAAACAGCAGTGGGAAGTCTGTACCACTTTCTGAACGCCTGGTGCACCCCACGAACGGAACATGGGTTACAACAGGTCAGACACTGGAAGTCAAGTCTGGGCCAGATTGTAAACTATTCCATCTGTGTCTGCGTCTACAAAAACCCCTTTTCGCCCAGGCCTCCCCTCTTGCTTCCCCCCTCTTTCGCAAAAGCGAAAGAAAAATAAATTCAGGAAGAGGCTTCCGAGGGCCTCGGCATCATGGCGGGAGCCCCTCCCTGATAAGAGCCCCAATCAAACGGTGGGATTTTTTGTGCGAGCCATAACTCTAGGCGAGGAGTCCGACGGGCTGTCATCACCGAGACTGCTAGACAAATTATCAGTGCCGACTGCCTTACGCGACGGGAGTCCTGTGGGTCTGCCAGAGTATAGCCATGACATTCTAGATGAGCTGTCACATCTCCTACGGACTTCAAATGGATGCAAGCATGCACGCACACACTCGGTTTAACACTTAAAAATGGGCTCGCATGCACTCGCAGACTCTTTATGCATCTCTTTGGCCGAATTCAGGGGTTCTGCGATTGCTCAAAAATAGCAGCGTGGCGGATTACTTACCAACGAGAAGGCTCATAATTTAAGAGAAGAGGCCGCTTCCATTCTCCATTCCTTTATGTATTCATTTTGACTCGGACAACTGGCTCAATTTAAAAATCTTCCTTCAGCTCCTACAGTTACTGCCTGACACACTTCAGCAAAACCACCAAAAGTTGCACCGTATTGAATGACTGCTGGCAGTCGTTGAATTATTGAAAGTCCCGTCACATCTTGTTCTTTCAAACCAGCTCTGGGCTTTGGAGGCGAGCGCGTTCATTACGAGACCTGCACCACAGATTTGGATTCTTGAAGGATAAAGTCTTTCCAGAGATTCTGACCTTCACCAGAATAGCTCAAACAGGTGTGGAATGTCAGTTCCTTTCAAATCTTTTTTTGTTGTTTCGATGAGACCCCAGAGAGCCATCCAGCCATGTCCATGATGTATAACAATGACCCGTTTCACCCTTCTTGACATTTCTTTGAGGTACTCTCCATGTCTTGATTCAGACAGTTCCTCAGTAGCCATCATCTCAGTATGAAATGTAGGTCAGCAGAGCAGGGGTGAGATGTGTGCATCTGCTCCTCATCCTAGCCTTGCCCCAAAAACAATGCCCTAAATATGACCTCGGACAGAATGAAAGTTCAGCCATCATCTACTCGCCCTCGTGTCGTTCCAAACCTGTACACCCAAAAATAAGTGATGGAATAGAAGAACTAATTTAGTTTCTCCAAAGAACTTTTCAGTGAAAAAAGCATTTAAAATAACAAGAACATTTTAAAAATCTAAAGAAACTTTTTCCACTATAAATAACTTTTTGTGGAATGGAAAGGTTCCATGGATGTTAAAGGTTCTTCATGAGCCATCAGTGTCAATAAAGAACCCTTTATTTTTGCGCATACGGTGCCAAAACAGCATTGGACCCCATTTACTTTGATTGTAAAGACAAAGAAGAAATAAAGCATATTGGCTTGGAGTGACAAAATGACGACAGTATGTTCTATTCCTATAAATATCTTAGCGTGGACTTCTCAAATCTTAGAAGGCGTTAGTAGAACCACTCAGATATGACAGAACTGTAGTTCTGTGTTCAGAAACCTGTTGGCTTAGTGTAAACAGTGTCTTGGATTGGGCTGCAGTCTTCAGGAGTCCTCGGGAAGGGACTTTAGCCAGCTGTGAGCTCTTCTTTCTGATGCTGGCACTCAGGAATGCTCCTGGAATGTTAGTCTGCCTGCCAATCACCTCTCCAGCCGTGCCATGAAGAGAGAGGGAAAGAGCATTACTGAAGAAATGCATCTGTGCTGGATTATTGAGACCTCCTACAAGGGGTGTCGCTGTCGAGGCAGAAGCTGAAGATCAATCACGCTTCAGAAATATCGTGGGTGGGTCTGATTGTGGCAAAGGATGTGCCACCAATGCAAAACTATGGTTGAGTTTAGAGTTTATGGTAGAATTAGGGGTTAGTATTTGTTTCAGTGTAATTGACATGACCTATGAAATCTTTAGAATTGGCCGCGCAGCGATATTTGCACTTAATCGGTTTGGAAAACAGCACGTTTGTAAGTAGGCCCAAGACAGCTGGAAAATTAACAAAATGCTACAGTGTTGAAGACACGTCTTAGTAGGATTGATCATTTTGGCTTCCACATACTCAGTCTTGTTGATTCTAGCTATAGTAGAGAAAACCAGTTTTAGTTTTCTGAACATTGGATATCGCTTAAAAAGAGCAAACATTTATCTTGTTTGTTATTCGTGTAATTTACTGTTATATTTTCTTATTTATAATACATTTATTTCTTTATTTATTCACTTGGCGGGCACGATTCACAATGGAAGCAAATGACAGAATTTTTCCTTTTTGGATGAGTTATGCCTTTTTAAAGATGCTGTGAAACAGGCTGTTTGTGAACTCGTCAGATTTGGAGGTCCGCTCTGATCTGATCTTTTCCACCGGGAACTTCCCACTCTGATTCTGATGATTTATTTGCCCGTGAGCTGCGCTTTGCTGTTCTTTTGAACTGAACTCTGTTTCCCCTTGTGATTTAGGTTGGCCCATGTTCTGCACTTTGATGAACAAAGCAGAAAGGTAAAAGATGCCAACATGCAGGACGAAGACACATTCGAGATCTATGATCCACGCAACCCTGTCAACAAGAGGAGACGTGAGGAGAGCAAAAAACTCATGAAAGAGAAGAAGGCCAGGAGGTGAGACTACAGCTACACTCCTCGTTCACCCGCTGCCTCAAACTGCCCGTCTGGAATGAGTCCGGCCATTAGAAATGACACAACATCAGGGACGAATGAGACGAATTATATTAACTGATGTTCTGTCAGTGTGAATGGGAGATATCTGCAGCCTCTTTATTAAAAAGACATTCATTTCTGCCTACTAATACTGGATATACTTGTGAAGATGGCAAGCGTTTATTGTTTTTAACCCATAGAGGAAAAGCAACACAAACCTTTTCATGAACAGGTTTGATCATGCTCTCAAAATGAGTGTACATTTTCATCTCAGTAATAAAAGTCTTTATTTCTAATGTTTAAGCTTTGTTGTTCACTTCGTAACCTAACTGACACATTGATTGAATTCACTGTCAAGCTACATAGACCAATTCATCCTAAAGTCGTAAAGTCACATAGCTGATGCCAATACAAAGAGAGTAAGGTGACCATTAGTTGATATCAAATTTTAGATTCTACACTGAGCATTTATTTCACACTTATTTCTAGACTCTCGTTATCACAAAGCAAAATAAATGTGTCTGACAGTGTCTACACTGATTATAATGGGAGCGTTGGAGTTTGTTAGACATCATTTTTGGCATTTGAAAATACATGCTTCGATTCATTAAAAAAAAAAAAAAAAATCAATGCATCCATTAGGTGTTTAAATCGGACGTTTCATCACGATATTACGACATTATTTTACCTTAGCCAGAATATTTGCGATACCTCAAAACATGCCGTGATACAATTGCAAATTGATTCGATTCAGGAGCCTGTGATCGATATTGCAATATTATGTGCCTGTTTTACACATCCAGTGACATTTCTTTCATCTCACAAATGACACCAAAAAAATAGCATGGACATTTAATTGAACTCACCGCATATTGCAAATCCTGTATCCCAACTGGCACACCCACAACAAAAAATCCTTGGTTATATACAATATAACTAATCTAAAAATATAGTTTAAATACAAACGTTTTTTGATAATTAATATTAGTAGTAGTAGTAGTTTATTTTGAACATGTAGAAAACATAAAAATAAGAATTATACAAACATGCTTTCACATATAAAAATAAAATTAAAATAATAGTTATATAAGGAACTGTGCTTCTCAGCACAAACTTCCAAAATTAATAAAGGTCATTCAAATTAGAAATTCCCATGTTCAAAAAGGAGTAGGAAGAAGTTCATAGCAAACTTTTCAAGTCCTACCCCCTATCTCTATTGTTATCATTTAGTTAAATACAAAACAATTTGACACTTCTCATATACATACGTCTTTACATAGACTGTATATCAACTTACCTACTGAATATATATACTATAGAATAATATAATATAGAATAATATAGAAAAAATAATTATATATTTTTTTATCTGATATATTTGTATATGTGTTTGTGTGTATATTATTTTTTTTTGTGTTGCATAAGAAAACATAATATCATTTGTCAGTTGATCGATGCATAATTACACCTAACATCCATAATCTAATTTAATAATCGATTATGATTATATTGCCTATAACTGACTATAATAATATAATTGCACCTCGACTTGAACTTGTTTATTTGATGTTATATGCTATTCATTGTTTAATAGTTATGTTTCTGCCCCTATACTGTACATGAGGACATAAATGTATATTTTCTGTCACGTTATGCAAATCTATTATGCATATGTAAGTCTTTTTAACATCTGTTTGAGTTATTCATTTTCCATCTAATTGGTTCAATAAGCAGCTCTATGCAGCCGTATGGCGTAATATCAGCGTCTCTTATCTCTACTTCATATCACAGGCATGACTGCCATCGTAAAAAAGAGCTCTTCTGCAGAAGCAGTGAAAATGTGCGAAAGCTAGATCCACTCCACATCTGCCCTAAATCGAGCAAGTATAAGCTCAGAGTTCAACCTGTCCATTAAATAACAGGAGTAATGCAAGACACACATGACCGCAGTGAAGTAAACCAGAGTTACGCTTGACTCGTCCTGCAGCCGTACTTCCAAAAAATACAGTCTGAATCATAGCTCGATTCTCCCACCAAAAAAAACCCCTCCCATTTGTATAAAACGGTGGCAAGATAATAAACAGTTCCTATCGTTTTTCCTGCCGTTCCTATCGGTCTCGTATTTTGTTACCGAAGAGCCGAGTCCATTGGCGTTCCTGATGATGTCGGCTGACTGTGGTTTGGTCTAAATGATCTACCACGAGTGTGCGCGACCAGCAGCACGGTTTGGCCAGCGCGCAACCTTTTACTGCTCCTCTGGGATCACGCTTAAATTTTCATATGGAACAGGAAGGAGAGTTAATGTTACACCATAAGAGCCGCGTGGCCAAAGCCGCTGCAAACTAAAACCAGGTGAGACGCACCAAAGCCAGTGCAGCTTCTAGCGCTATGACTCGCTCTACTGTGCCTCTGTCACAGGGAGACTTTCATAAAACCACCGGGTCTGCCATTTCAACACATCTCTACACCAGAGACTCGTTCAGGGTTGTTCCTAAACATAACGGGACTGACTGATTTGATAAATTATGCTGGATGTATGGAAGGGGAGATGCTGTCTATACACTGTAGGTGGTGTGAGATATCCATCATACAATTATTTATTTATAATAAAAAATATATATTATTTTCAGTGCAAAAGACTACATGTCTGTATAATCATAGTCAAATAAATGAATTATATTAGACTAAACGACATTTGTGAAAACATTAAATACATGTTAGTGCTTTGACCAAGTTCCATTGGTGACAATTTATTACTACTATTGGTACAGGAAATACACACTGAAGCGCTTTTTAAGAATTTGTTCCCATGACTCAATTCATTAAATTGAATTGTTCCACCAATTTTCCACCAAATCAACAAATCATGATTTTGACTTCCATATCCTTTCACAAAGAACCAGGATGTCACACGTTGGTGCTGAGACTGCGTTTTGATCAAGCATTTTATATTTATCCTCATTCTGAACCCAGAAGTGTCACCACTGAGCAATTCTAGAGTAGTTCCATCTATAGTACAGTTTTTACACATACAGTACATTTACTTAAGTTTAAAATTGTAAATAACATATAAATGCAAGCCTCATAGCTAACATAGGCTAAAAGTGAAAACATTGTGATTTTATGGGCTCCTTGAATGCATTTCATTGACATTGGGTAAGAACAAAGTCCTGTAAGAAGCATTAACAAGTAGATATCTTGATGTTTAACCAGAGGCTTTCAAAACGCGAGGTTTTGGTAGGAATATTAAAGTAATGCGGCCCCTTTTTGAGTTTTTGGTGCGAAAGACTCGCTCTGTTCACCTTTCCTCTGGCAAGAAACATGAATATTGGCTCTTACAGTGGACTTTGAGGTGAGAGAAGACAAGACAATGTCACTCTTGCATAGCAACACTTAACATTCTTGCTGGCCAAGATACAAAATACCCATCATTACTGCTGGTCACATGACTGTGGGAGATTAAATGGACCAGTAATGTCATTATCTTGCTCACTATCTGCCTGTGCCCTTGTGAATGAGTACTATAAATAGATCACTTAATCCTTTTTCCCCTGTACGAGAACAAGACGAAATCCTCACTGCCTTTATGCCCCGGAGAAGCCAAGATCGTTCTGTTCCCACTTTCCCCTTTTTCTTTGGCCTCTCTGCTGCAGGAAAATGACTTGTCAGATGACCTTATTACAGGTCGGGTTTCATTTGAAACTTTTACTACAATGATTTGTCCTTTATTTTACGTAGCCTGGTCATTTTCTCTCTGATCACACGGTGGGGTTTTGGAAAACGGGGCGTGTCCGAGTTCTACTTCAGTGGCTTAATCTGGTGGAAATGTTGCTTGATTTCCATCACTACACATATTCATGGCTTTATATCAGGGCTGTCAATTTAATTTGTTCAATTAACCTTGTAAAGCCTGATATATGAAATAATAGTCAGAAAGATCTGTTTTAAATTAAATTGAAGTTTATATATATATATATATATATATATATACATACATACATACATAAAATGCTTCATAACTGATTCGTCATTTTATGGCTCAAATAGTATGATATAGGAGAATATGGCACTCATACTCGAGGAGGAAAAAACATGGACAGTTTTATTCACAGGCCCAAACTTAGCAAAAATATGCCATTTAGTGCAGTTGCTGATATGTATATGGCCAAATCATATGATGAAATTGTGATTTAAATCATAAAAGTATAGCAGACTACTTGCATAAAATGCTTATGAATAATGTATCAGTTGTCACTCTATAGTTCCCAATAATATGTGTTAGTAAGAAGATATTTAAAGGGGTGGTTGATTGTGACTAGACTATCTTCTAGACTAATCAATGACTAGAAGATAACTACGCATAAGCTACATAAATTAATCAACTAACCATTCAGAAATGTCCTGTTGCATTCTACATGTTGTCACTTCTTCTTGAGTCTCTCCATCATTGTCTGACTCCGGTTTGAACATAAAAGGCTAAAAGTTTTTGAAATTTTCAGTGCATGTGTGTGTGAGGTAAAAGTACACAAGCTGTTGTAGCTCCGCCCTCTGTGTCGGGAGCAGCAGCTCATTTGCATTTAAAGGGACTGACACAAAAACTGTACGTTTTTGCTCACCCTCAAAAAGTGACAACTTTAACATGCTATATAAAAATATCTGTGGGGTATTTTGAGCTAAAACTTCACATACACACTCTGGGGACATCAAAGACTTATTTTACATCTTGTGAAAAGAGCATTATACCACCCCTTTAAATGCTTAGTTTTATGATCAATGCTGCATTTTTATTATGGGGGCAAAGCATCTAATGCAATGCATTACAATGATGATTGAGAAATAAATGTTTTTCAAAAGTCTGATTTATCATATTTGATACTTGCATTTTAACACGATTTGTTGGCAAGCACAGAGGTAAAACGTTTCTCGTAGTTGGTCACCACATCTCAGGAGGGATTTTGGTCCACTCCTCTTTACAGATACTCTCAAAATCCTTAAGGTTTCTTGCCTGTCACTTGGCAACTCAAAGTTTCAGCTCCCTCCAGAGATTTTCT